TTAAACTCACGAAGGAAAAGCCTATGGATATTAGTGCCTGGCTAAATGGAACCTTTCAATCAGCTGCGTTAAAACTTAGCTTTTTTTATTATTATAATTAAAGGCATTTCTAAGGACAGTGTCCCCAAGAAGGAATTTGAGAAGTTGCATAGCTTTATATCAAAGATTTTCAACCGAAGTCTAACATTTAAAACGTTTTTGCCACGGGGTTTGTATGTCTATGTATAATATTAGTAAAAACAGCAACAGCTTCTAAAGACTGGTACTGCCTATTTCCCTTCTTGCAGTCAATCCTAATTTATACAAATGTATGCAAGTCTGATGGGGGGAAAAATATCAACCATTTTGCCAAAGTATAAATGGCTTATCCTGATGTATTCGGGCAGACTTGTTCTTCTGGCTGCAAAACTGACAGTTGCTCTTTTCCCCTACGTCTTGTCATCTGGCAAATTTTTTCAAACAGATGGGGAAACTATACGGCATGATATTGCAGGTAAAAAAAAAAACCTGCATTAGAACAGGGCTGTTCTGGGGTGTTGAGAAAGTTAGAGAGGGGAAAGAGCAGATCCTGTTTGTAAAACTGATAGGACAACTAACCCTCATCCACCTATTTGCTCAACTGCAGAGTAGGGAGAAGTCCACTTGGTAGTTTGAGGTGGAGAATTTCTTAGGTAGCTAAGTATTTGAAGGGAGGTTGAAGAAAGAAGGTTGCAAAGCCACAAGAGTGGTTATCTTGTAAAGATAATGGCTTTGTATAATGTTCTTGGGGCTAAGGGGTTAGTATGTTTAGATCTCACTTTTAAGCAGTTACCAATTATCCCAGTGCAGATGGATAAAGCTAACCAAATAGCAGTAGAAATGCTCTGAATTTTGAAATTGTCCATGGTAACATGAAAAGGGAAGTGGCAGTGGTGCTTCCCTCCCTGCCCCCAGCACATTAAGCCATGGCTTTTCAGGGCGTTCAAGAGCATCAGCTGTGTGCATCTTAGAGTGAACCGCTTCCATTGACAAGTTTTTACCTTGAGCCTTATTTCTCCATTGTCTGGATCTCAGAACTTGCTAAATGCCTTTTTCTGGTCTGAGAGCTTCCCCACTGTCTTTCCCCTGGAACCTGATTTTCCATAACCTCAAATCCGCTGAAAGTCGGGCAAGTTGCGGCACCTTTGAAGCTGAGAACCAGGTCCGTATGGGCCAGAATTGTAAATTCCAAGTGTTCAGCAGCTCCTGCGATACCCAGTCTGGGGCTAGTGTCATAAAAGCAGCACCAGTGGTTTCCTGACACCACTTTTCTCAGAAAATGAGTGAACTGAGACTTGCCAAGAGCAAACAGAACTGAGAGACTGGGCAAATCCGTGGCGGTGCTGTGGGTGCAGGCGTGGGGTCTCTGTCGGGTTTAGCAGATGGAGAAGTTTGGGGTGTCAGGGAAAATATGAAACATGTCACATCCTGCTGTGGAATTCGAAGGGACACAATCGCTTGCAGCTTGGCACAGTGCTTTAAAGAAGAGTATTTTTAAAGCTGACTTCTAAAGAAAAGTATTTCCATACCTTAAATAAAAAATGTGCTGGGAGCAGTTCTAACCCAGCCGCCTTCTGCAGTGTTTTCGTGTGATCCAGGCACTGCAGTGGTGCTTAACTGCAAAGCTGCAAACTGAGCCCCAAAGCTGCAAACTGAGCCCCAAAGCTGCAAACAGCTCGGTGCAGGACTTGGCACTCGGCACCCGCATGTACCGGATACCCAGGGCTTCAAAGTTAGGATTTGCAGTGAGGAAAGGACAAGAAAAGTAGTGGCCTGAATAACAGTAAGAATAGTGCAGGTTTTCAGAATTCAGCTTAGTTTCCTTTTCTGTCATCAATTTGAATGCTCTAATTGGAGAGCTGAAAGGGTCTCAGAGAAGTAAGGTGGCTTCCAGACCACAGAGAGCAAGGTGCAATCTGACAAACTCGATTACAAGTTTGGAAATCCATGCTATAAGTCAGCGGAAGGTCATTAGAATTGCAGGGCCAATTGATAATTGATGGCAGCACATCCGTAAGAACAAAATATAAAATTATGGATCTGTTTGCATAATTTTTGTGATTCTGGTTTCATTTTTCATATCAAAAATGGTATAATTTTAATGCTGACATATTGGGATCTGTCACAGCTAAAATGGCATAAAATACTCGCTTCTAACCTCGACGTTTCATCAGGAAGCAGTCGTAAACTTTTCAGCATGCTGATTGTCATTTTGCACATCTGGGCTCCGTCTCCTTCAGTTCCAGGCTGGCGTTTGGAGCCGCTGCCATGGAAAGCTCCCCGGAGAGAGATCTCCGTCCCCTGCACAGTATATATAAATGAGGAATTCCCACTATTAGTGACTTGATTAATCTCTTTAGTGGTTTGGAAGATGTACTGCTAAATTTGAATCGGAAAAAGCTGCTGAAAGCCAGCATAGGTAGAATGGTGCAAATGCTTTTGGTTTTTAAACTTTTCCAGTGCTGCATCTGGGGCCATCATTAGAGAGGGGTGAGCTTGATGTCAGAAAATGAAAGGGTACCACATCATGCATCTTACTTCCCCAAATAGGCAGGGCTTAAAAGCAGCGAGTGAATTTTTGTTCAAATAAAGGAAAAGTGACAACTCTTTGGTTCATCTCGACAGCTTATCCGATTCCATCCATCCCTCTCTGGCTGATTATCAGCTGCGAATGTAACAGAGGAAGAAGGTTGAAGACATTGCAGGCAACAAGGCTACCCAAAAAATCATTTTATAGTGGTACTTTTTGTAACGCTGTGACAAATACAATTTCAAAATGGTTGAACAGGCAAAGGGAGAATAGAGTTATTTACTTTACACTTGGGTGTCCTGTGCGAAACGAGTCCCTTTAGGGTTTCTATGAGCAGCCCGCACACAGACCATCCTTGTGCAAGGAGACAGAGGAGCGGAGGTGATGTCCCCCGGAGAACCGAAGCAGCTGCTGAAGGAAACCCAGGGTAGTTTTCTTGCGTGTTATGGAGGCGTTTGCCTGCTCTGGATCCTGCCAAGCTGTGTGCGCCAGCGGGACAGGAATGCCTGGGTTTCTTGCATCTTTGGAGGAAGAAAGCTTTGACCTGCTGGAATGGAGGGGTTAACAGTGTTGCAGGAAGGAAATAACTAAATTTCAGAATCAGCTTAAAATTAAGCTGATTCGAAACTGCAGTGTTATGACTTCTATGCAACAAAACAATCATCTCCACATCCTCTCTGAGGGCAGGCTCCTGTGTGCCAGCGGGGTGGGTCCTCCTTCCTCTCCTCACATTAGAACAGCAATGAGCTGATTGCCCTGCTCTGTCCTTCCTGCTAGGCCAGCCCTGTTGCTGCAGAAATGCTGGTTTTGTGGGTTCTGCCGCCTTGCCTGCTCTCGGCTTCAGCTTCTAGCCCTGCAGCCTCAGAGCACTTACCTGCTGCCATTAGAGAGTCAAAAATGCCTTAAAGATCTTCATGATCAGCGAAGAGTGAGAGCTTCTCACTTAGAATAGAGCTGCCATGGAGAAATCCCAAAGATTGCAACAAAATGAAATGAACACCCCAAGCCAAATGACTGTGACTTGTTTGAGTGAGTTTTGGGGCAGGTTTTTCTCTCCCAGGCGATTCTTGGTTTCCTCAGAGCACTGGGCTCGGTGACTAATTCATAGTACAGTGAGTGTTTAAAGCCCATGTTGGTTTTGCTTGTCCAGCATTCCTTCTTCTGGTGCTGTTGGAGGCTGAATGTTATCAAGCAGCTCAGCAAATGTTTATCCTTGTTCATATGACCATCCCTATGAAACTTTACTTTGGAAGCTGGATGTTTAAAAAATAAGAAATCTGGTGATTAAGGAGGAGGATGCCGGAGGCTTGCTATGGTGATCATGAAACGCAGCAAAGCAGGGAAGGGATTTCTTGAGTGAAGCATTTTAGAAGCATTTGCTCTTTGCAGAGCAGTGGTGGGGAACACTGTTCATTCTCTGAAGCCACTTTCTTCCCTTTGCAATCTGACTTTTTTTCCAAAGAATGCGTCAAAGAACACGCAGGTCACCGAGACGCTGAGACTGAAGCTGCTCAGCGCCAGGCTTTGAGGGTTTATAAAAGGCAGCCTTATTGAAGGTACCCTGTAGGGGATGACAGGTCCTAGTCTCTCCTGGCTAAAGAGAGGTTTCTTAGTTTAATTTTCCTTCCCAGCTGGAGCCAAAGGGGCAGGAGGACAGAAGAAAACCTCTGCTGGTGTGGGAGCCTTGGAACTCACACAGGCCCTGGCCTCGCACTCCCCAGGAGAGGTTAATGTGCCCCTGCGGAGGGATGGCTCAATAGGCCAGGAGGAGCTGGGCAGCGCGGAGGGGATTGCTCGGAAGCCACCCCCATCGGCGGGGCTGTTGTGGGAACGCAGAATTACTGCCCCTCCGGAGTCCTGATAGGAAGATACCAAACAGTCGCGTTCTCCCTCTTCTTCCTTGTGTGGGTGTTCTCTTAATGCACACACCAGTGCAGGGCTGGGTGTTGCATGCCTCTGAAGGGCTGTTTTTCCCAAGGTTTAGGTGTAAGGTTTTTGTGCTGCTAGGTGGGCAACTGGGCGTGGTTTTCCCCTTTAGCAGAGTTTCAATGCAGGCCTTATAATAATAGGAAGCAATAACATATTGACTTATAACAATAGGAAAACTCAGAAGGTAAGAGCCCTATACCTAGGGCTGCATTGACTTTAGCCTCTGTATTTTTATCCCATTTTAATTACCATTCTGGCATACTGGCAATTCCTCAAATAAGCTGAGGAATTTGGAGATGGGGGGGTTCTTTCCAAAATTCCCACTCAGTGTGCACAGCCCAGGATTAAAAGAAAAGTATTTGCATGATATACTGAATGCTGTCATAGGACTGGCCCATTGCAGATGTGGGCTGTTTGTTGCCAGGTTCAGCATTAACTGGAATGCTCCCAACCCTGCCCACAGCTGAAGTCCCAAAAACTTTTAGTTCTCTTATGTACTTTAATTCATTTTCTCTTTTCACAGATGATGAAATTTGCTTGGGATAACTACAAACAATATGCACTAGGAAAAAATGAACTGCGACCACTGACGAAGAACGGCCACATCGGCAACATGTTTGGTGAGTTCTGCATCCATTTTGCTGCAAGTTATTTTTTTAAAATACGTTTCCACTCCAGGTGCTTTTTTTGCAATGCAGAAAGGAGTCTGCAACATTTTTGATCTCTCTTTTCAAGTTTTAAGAAGCAAGATTTTCAACACTACTTAGAGGAGTTGCTTACTCATGTCCCTTTGCTGGGATTCTCATTCCTATAGATATATTTTAAACCCACAGCTTGTCACCTTCGTGTACAGCTCTAGCACCAAACGTGCCTGAGAACAATGCTAAAACCAACCAAGGTCTTTATTAAAACATGAAGTCACTCCAAACCCGATGCTGCTGCTATTTGTCTAAGCTTGTACACATCAGGACCTCACCAATGTGAGCATTTGCTCTCTCATTGCTCCGCTGTTGAGCAAGATGCGAATTCCATGAAATATTGAATGAGTGAATCAATATTAAAGGCTCTTTATACTGTACGCTTACTGGCTTGTATAATTTCACTCTTTAGCAGGTTACCTTTTTTTTCTCCTCATGTGAACCACTTGCATAATTTTGGTGCTATTCCTCTGCTTGTTCTGGTGGGATACTTGTTGACTTTTTGGAATATAAATTGTCTTTTTCCTCATTTGCATTCCAAGCATTTCCTGCTCACTCTGCCCTAGCCTGATCTGCTCAGCACAGGTTATGCTGCGGTGAGAAGATGCTGAGCGTGGGGCAAGACTCGTGCTTTGCAGAATGTGCTTCGCCACCAATCCCACCCCTCCTTGGGGAGGACTGCCTCTCCAGAGGGCTCTTCTTGGCTTCTTTCAGTTGAACTTTGCTTCACAGACAGCTCCCAGACTCGGATGGAAGTAGAGTTCTTGAGTGAGCAAATTATCTATAAACTGTGTTCCCCCAGGGGAAAATAGAGGAGAAATTCAAAGGGATTGGAGTGGTACCAGCTGAAGAAATGCGGAATCCATGATCACTGGAGAGCGGTGCCTTGCAGCGTTCCCTGTTCTATCCCAGCCTCCGTGTGACCAGCTGCTGCTCTTCCCCTCTCTGGCCATGCCGGGAGGGGCGATTTGGGTTTTCCTTCTGCCTTTCCGCTCTCTCTCTCCTGAGAATATCCCAATTTCTTCCTTAACAAGTTGCATTAACTGTAGCATTCAGTTAAGCGTTTTGCAACTTTTCCGTGCTGGCAAGCTTGTCAAAATTCCTCAAGGAGAGTGCCTGTAAACAGACAAAAATATTGAAAGCTTTTAAATGCATTTATCATTTTGAAACAATTGGCACTACTTACGCTTGTTTGTAATGTGTCTGTGAGCACTCAAGGAAAATACTTGGGAGCACGAGGGTTTGCAGACAATTGCAGAAGAGAGGCTACAAAGCCTCTTAATAGACTTTTCCCTCGTCTGACTGTGGCTCGTAAAGAACTGAAGCGTTAGTCAGTCCAGTGCTGCTGCCCTCCTATCCCTCTTATCTTCAGAGGCATTTGGAAATTAGGATAGGGTCATGTTCCCCTCCCTCAGTATTGCTGTTCCACGTTCTGCCACAAAACGTGCCTTTTTGCTTTAAACTCCAGGTGTAATGTAGGCAAATTTGGTCTTTTCCAGTCTGGAGGTGTCAATATTAAGCTAAGATTTCTCTGCAGCCGCTCCTATGTGGGAGGGAAGGAACCTCTTTGGGTCCATTTTCAAATATGTTTGTGTGAATGTGAAGTAATCAAGTTATTGAAGGGTGATACATTTTCCTGTTGTGGATGTGATGCTCACTTGTAGCCTGGCCTTCAATTTAGCAGCTTCACCCTGAGGAAGTGGGTGAGCTGCTCGTTATCAAATATTCTTTCTAATCAAAACAGAAATACAAAATAAACCTCCACCTCTCTCGTAGCGTCCTGCTCTGTTACAGCAGCACAGCCATAAACTCGCAGCCGCCCAGAGGGCAGGAGACTCGGAGGCAGCAGAACTCCTCCTGTGCCTCCATGGTGGTTAATGCCCATCCTGCTCCGCTCGGGAAGGCGAATCCCACCTCGCAGAGCATCTGCACCTACTACAGAGTATCTCCTACATTCTGCTTCCTACCTGGGCACCAGGCTTGCCCGCCAGCCCGAGCAGCAGGACTGTACCTCACTCAGCCTCTGGTCCACGCCGGGTGCTTGGGCTTTCATTCCTGTTTTAACTAGTGCTCCCCAAGTTATACTCCGAGAGCATCAATTGCATCAACATTTTCCGGTGTTCTGGACATGACTTATTTGTGTAAAAGTCCTGAGACTGCTGTCATTTATAATCAATGCAACTTGAAAGCCCTTTCTTCAAACCCATTAGGAAACCCAAAGGAAACCTTTCATAAGGATTATTTCTTCCTCTGTGATGCCTGTGATAAGAAGTGCCATGCTGAACATCCCGTCCTGCCGTGTGTTGTGGTGGGGCAAATGATTTTTAGAATTCAACTGTTTTGAATGTATGCTGATGTCCCTGCAAATGAACACAGGGAGAATGGGCAAAGCTCCCTGCTGAGGTGGAAACAGGATCTCTGTGAGCGTAAAACCTGCACCATGAGATTGCTGTGTGATTGTTTGGTACAAGCGCAGAGTTTTGATAGTTATTTGCAGAATTTCTCTCCAAGTTTCAGCTGACCGAGGAGGACCTGCAGGGCACCTGGCCACTGCTGGAACTGGCCCCAAGTGTGTTTGTTTAGGAGAGAGATCGAAGGAAAAGGTTGGATGAACCTGGGGTCGAGTTTGCAGCTAAGGGTGAAGGCCAGAGACTGGCAGGCACGTGGTTTATTCCACATGTTCATCGGGCTCCTTTAACCCTTCTGACCCCAGCTTCTCAGCATTCCTGCCTTTGGTGAGCACCGAATTAACTGCTGCTTGCAGTGTGTGCATTGAATTCCTTGGATGAGGCTTCTAGAGAGGGCAGCGTGGGGCTCGAAATGCACCTGTCACTGCGATACCCAGCGCTGGGAGCTGAATCACTATTCTGCCCGCTCCCCGGCTCTGTCATAGCCACTTATTTTTCTGACAAAATGTTTTTAAAATCCTGTTAGCTTTACGGAGTTTCTGCGGCTATGGGAGAATGAGCTGGCATCTATTTCTGCTCATGCATCAGCCGAATTGTCAGTTACATTTTGATTGCAGAGTCTTTTAACAGTGATAAGGTAAGAAGCCTGATTTTCAGATATCTCATGAAGTGTGCAGTGCTGGCAGCAGTAGAATCCGTTTTTGACTTATAACCTGAGCCACTTTGCTTTGAAATCAGTGACAGCAAGTAAATATGGAACCTTGCTGTGTTGTTAGACAGTCATTTTTCACCACCTAACTGCACAATAGTATATTAATTCTGGTGTAAAAATTACAATTCTTAGTTAGGTTCCCCTTTTTTCTTCCTGTCTCCCTCTTGAAATGACTCCCAACATTATGAGTTGTCTTGTCAGAGCCACTGCTTCTATCGGCATTGCTGGATTTATGATCTTCGTGAGGCTCCCAAGGAGTCTCTGATGTGAATGTGGGTGACAAGTGTCACATGTAGGACACAGCCAGGTCCCCAGCACTGGAGGGCACAGACCTGGCAGCCGCGGGGCCTGGGCAGTGCCAGGCGAGGGGGCTTCGTCCTCGCAGGTGTCCCCACGGCCCCTTCCAGCTCAGCGGCCGCTGGGGCGTCGTGCGCGACCCGGCCGTCCGCCTCAGCTGGCCTCGTGCCTTGTGCTGAAGACAGCAGGTCGTTGCCCTCAGTTGCTCGGAAATAGGGCTATTTTGGCTCTCTGGGTTAAAAAACGGTTGAAGAGGCCAGGAGAGAGCAGGACTAGTGGTGATGTGCGTGTGTAGAGAGGCCTCTAGGAAAGTTTGTGCTGGGATTCAGACTCCTTCGGTTTTTCTCACTCTGACAAATGCCCGAGTAGCCTAACAAGTGTCCAGTGTAATTAGTACCAGCCCTTCCCACTGTGCTGTGACCCGCCCAGTGCCTGGTCTGGAAGAAGCTTTGAGTAACTCCGCACGGAGACGCTGCCAGGCTCCTTTCACACAAGCTTGTGACGTGTGTAGGAGTGTGCTCCTACCGCCAGCCCAGCTTCATTGGGTGCCAAAGGCCCTGCATCCCAGGAGAGGACCCTGCATCCCAGGAGAGGACCCTGCATCCCAGGAGAGGACCCTGCATCCCAGGAGAGGACCCTACATCCAATCTTCAACCATTGAGCCAGACGTTTCACAAATATCTGCTTCCTTCAGCATCAGTGATTTAGCTAGGAAAGCACGAAGCAAGCAGGGAATGTGCCCACCCCGGTTAGGAGCAGTGTGAGTTCACGTATGAATATTTAACTTGGGAAAGGTAATGGGGTGAAAATACTGATTTAGCGGCATTCTGGCGACCAGAAAACAGAGTAACCTACAGTTGTGCAATCACTTGGTGGAGTTTTCATTCTAGTTACGTGTCTCTTTCACTGTGATCACAAAATTAGAAAACCCTGGAGTGTCCTTTTATGTGATTAAAATAATAATAATAGTGCTCTGAATTTGCATGCTAAATTATTCCTGCTGCCTATTGCATGTGACATGGCAGATTGCTCCATAGGCGTTTAAAGAAGAAGCCTCCACCCTCCACACTTCTATATTATAATGAAGATGTTTCTGCTCCTCTCTGAGCACTGTTGCTCCTTGGCTTCTTTTTCTTCCCCTTTTCTTTCTCTTTTTTTCTTGTTTTTGGTAGGATATTACTCAGCTGAATATTACTCGATAGAAAGACATCCTGAGCTGACGTTGGCTTTTGCTACCATTGAAATCTGTAGCAACAAGCTTATTTCCTGTCAATGTGAAGCAATGAATCAGAGTATCCTCCAGATATCCAAGTTGTTGGAAATTGGTTGCATGATTCATGTTAGAGCTGACATTTATCCCTGTTGTATTTTTTTTCCCCTGCCTTCCACCTGCCACAGATTGCTCCTTGCAGCCACCAAGGAGGTCATTAATGCTGGAGGGAGCCGCGTTCCTGCTTTGCTCTCACCTTGGGTCCCTGGAGAACGGTGCCGTTTTGAGCCTCAGC